AAAAAAAAAAAAAAAAAAAAAAAGAGGAAGATCTTCATGAATTAATACAAAGTGATTTCCTGTTAAGTGATAAAAGCAAAATGCAAAATGTATCATAGCACACTGCTCCTCATATAAATAAATCCAGGATGACTGCAAAATAGAGCATAAGCAGTAGTAAATGGGCCAGGAGCGGAGGCTCACACTTGTAATCCCAGCACTTTGGGAGGCTGATGTGGGCGGATCATGAGGTGAAGAGATCAAGACCACCCTGGCCAACATGGTGAAACCCTGTCTCTACTAAAAATACAAAAATTAGCTGGGCACAGTGGCATGTGCCTGTAGTCCCAGCTACTCTGGAGACAAGAGAATCGCTTGAACCTGGGAGGCAGAGGCTGCAGTGAGCTAAGATCGCGCCACTGCACTCCAGCCTGGTGACAGAGCGAGAGCGAGAGCGAGACTCCATCTCAAAACAAACAAACAAACAACAAAGCAGTAACAAATGAACCTAAATAACTAACCTAAGTAATTTTGGAAATAGTATTTTGACTGAATACTGTAAGACTAAAACAAAAAAATACTATACGCAAATACCTAAATCTAGTTGGTAAATTTGTTTCTCACAGAGAAATAGGTTAGAAATTCTGAAACTACTTTATGTGTATACTAAAACTGAACAAATAGGTAAATATATTTTTTCTCATTATCAGAAAAAGAAATTACAAATAAGTAAAGGAGGAAGGCTACAATAAACTCTGTAAAGCAGGACTAGAAATCAAGTTATTAATAAAACTGATAGTTTTCGTACATAAAAAGATAGAGGTAACAAAAAATGAAAAAAAGATAGAGGCAGAAATTCATACAGGGGTGTGTGTATAAATCTATCTATGTATATGTTTCCTAGCTTTAGCTGCCATAAGGGCCAGAAGCAGTGACATCCCAGTAGCCTAGAGCATACCTAGCACCCAGACCTTGGTTTCTAAACACCATTTCCCAATAAAAGCCATGAGGGCTCCTTGGAGAAGTGGCTGATTCAAGGCTAGGATAAGGAAAATAAAAGAACCTAGAATACCTCATGCAAGAAGGAAGAATGTGGTAAAAAAAAAATGCGTGGGGGTGTGTCAGAAGGTCAAAGGAACCAATGTGGAGGAGATTCCAACATTCAAAGCTGGAACAATTTGAGAAACAAAATAATGACTCACTGGATTTACTTCACAGAAAGAAACAAAAATCCATAAATCCAAAAATAAATCCATTTAAGTTTTATGAAGTGATTACATTTGATGAGGTAAATTAGATTTATCTCTCAGAAAAAAATCCATAAGTATAATTGAATATATAAGTAAATGAAAGGGAAGGAACAATTCTTTATACAGAATAATCCTAATTAACATACATAAAAAAGAGGGAAATGAAAAATTCAACATTAGGTTAACACCACAGTAATAACAGTTGAAGAGATTCAGCAATAAATGCTAAAATTAATGGGCAAAAATTACAGAAGAAACTGAATAATCTCCAAGTATCTCCCACAAGATATTTATTAATTACAAATAGAAAAATAAAAGCTTTATAAAGCAGACACTACCTTCACCAAGTTTGCAAAGTTAACATCACCAATAATAAGACATATCGACATTATGCATCCTTTGGTATGATGCACTGAGATGCATCCTTTGGTATGATGCATTATTTCTGTGGCATTCTTTGCAAAAATGCATTACCTCAATCTAATCACAAGAGAATATCAAAACAGATAGATCCAAACTGATTGCATGCAAATACAATGAGCCATTTGTCCAGAGAGGCATATCTGAGGATTCTAGGAGAGATTTCTCCCAGAAGATGAAGTCAATGGATCACCTAATATGTCCAAGTATTTTGAGATTCAGACAATTGATGGTAAGTCAGGAATTGGATTAGGGATGTGTATATATAAATTAAGCAAAAAAAAAAAAAAGACAAAATTTCCAAGTCATTATTAACTCCAGGGAAAATAAAAAGGTATACAGAAAAAGTAATTTGGCATATTCACGGCACAGCAATGACTAGCACTAAATGGTTGTAATAATGTAAATCCTGAATACTGACTTAATAAAAATTATGACATTGATAAGATGGGGTATGGGAAATGTGTGTATTTGTGTGTGTACACGTGTTGGATTCAGGAGAGGAAAGAGCTAAATCCTTATTTTCTTATAAGAAGATATCAAATAAGGACTCAACCTGAAGAGACAATCAAGAGTAGTAACATAAACATATTTTTGGAGAAATGAAGGGAACACCAAAACAAACTACAAAAGAAAAGAAGTGGATGGCTCTGGGAAGAGGGAAACTGGAGAACCAGGAATGAGAATTCCTTTTTTAAGAGAAAAAGCCTTGCATAGGTTGTTGCAAAGATAGTTTTGGTTTTGCCAAAAATTTAGCGTTTATTTTGCCAAAAACCGCAATTACTTTTGCACCAACCTAAGAATACTACTTGACTTTTTAAATAATGTGCGTACATGCTAGTGCAGAGAAGGCAAAAAATAAAAAGAAAAAAGAAAAGAGAAAAATAATGTGCATACATATCTTTGATAATAATTTTGATAAAAATTTAAACTCCGAAAGGAAATCTAGAAGAAGTGTGATATAATTCTTTTTTTTTTTTTTTTTTGAGACGGAGTTTTGCTGTTGTTGCCCAGGCTGGAGTGCAATGGCGCGATCTTGGCTCACCGCAACCTCCGCCTCCTGGGTTCAAGCAATTCTCCGGCCTCAGCCTCCCGAGTAGCTGGGACTACAGCCATGCACCATCATGCCCAGCTAATTTTTGTATTTTTAGTAGAGACGGGGTTTCACCTTGTTGACCAGGATGGTCTCGATCTCTTGACCTCGTGATCCACCCACCTCAGCCTCCCAAAGTGCTGGGATTAACAGGCTTGAGCCACCGCGCCCGGCGAAGTGTGATATAATTCTAACCATCAGAGGAAAAGAGCTGAGAAGGGCTGAGATTGAGGGTATAGGAAGACTAGAGAGTATAATTTGATTGAAAGAAAAAGAAAACAAAACCCACGGTGTGGTGAGGTTTCTAGGGAAGCATATACTAAGATTTCAGTTCCCATCCCACCTGAAGCCCAGAACAGTTTCCGACTTACTACTTGGTTGAGTACCTTACAGTAGCCCTCCCTGACTGGCGATCTGTCACTCACCTGCACAGTGACCCTGTGACATCTTTCTCTCCACCATCCATGGTTCCTTCCCTTGCTCCAGTAAGGAGATCATGTTGGGCTTAGAAATGGAGAGTCCTGTTCACAGGGGAAGAAAAATGAGACAGACATACAGACAGACAAATCAACATGCTACAGCTGTTATAGGACACAGACCCAATCTCTTGATCATCAGGCAAGAATGGACATTAGAGGATGGGCCAGAGAATGGAATGATACTTGTATGGATGATGAGGAGGATGAAGCTTCTGCCATGCCAGTGGTTCTCAAGGTCTTATAGCAGCTGCAGCCATCACCTAGGAACTAACTAGAAATGCACATTCTCAGGCCGGGCGCGGTGGCTCACACCTGTAATTCCAGCACTTTCGGAGGCTGAGGCAGGCGGATCACGAGGTCAAGAGACTGAAATACTGGCCAACATGGTGAAACCCCATCTCTACTAAAAGTACAAAAATTAGCTAAGTGTGGTGGTGTGCGCCTGTAGTCCCAGCTACTCAGGAGGCTGAGGCAGGAGAATCTCTTGAACCCGGGAATCAGAGGTTGCAGTGAACCAAGATCGTGCCACTGCACTCCAGCTTGGTGACAGAGCGAGACTCCATCTCAAAACAAAACAAAACAAATGCACATTCTCAGGCCCTAACCCAGAACTACTGAGTCAGAAACTATGGTGGCTCTCAAACCTTAATAGACATCAGGATCATTTAAAGAGCTGATTTGGTAGGTCTAGAATGGGGCCTCATAATTTGCATTTTAACAAATTCCCAGGACAAGCTGATGTTGCTCTTCCAAACCACCATCCTACAGCAAAGGGAACTACTCATTTCCAACTCCATGTAATTACCTCATGCAGTCAGAATGTCTGCCAAAAGTAAATTAATTAATTAATTAAAATTTAAGAAACTTAAAAAGTTAAAAATACATGTATTTCAAATCATTTCCTGGGAATGGGAAGTAGAAAGGCAAGTAAGTGCTTTTATGATGTTTTAAGATGACCTAGATATTCTCAACAGAGGAAGCAAAAATGCCCCAGAGGAAGATTTTTAAATTATGGGGGAGAAACATCCTTACCAAGCCATACCAAGTTCCTGTAGTTCTCCAACATGACATCTCTGTATAAATCCTTCTGAGATGGCTTCAGCCATTCCCACTCTTCTTGGGAAAAGTCTAGTGCCACATCTCTGAAGGTCACTAACCCCTGAAATAAAAAAATTCTTGTTCACCAGGTGCCCAGACACCCATAAGGCCCTAGCAAAAAAGATGAATTCTGCTACAGTTCAAAGCTCTAAGTGATGCAAGGAAAATAATCACTGGAGAACAATTACATGATAAGGTTTGTCAAATACTTTGAGAGAAGAGAAATATTAGAAACAGACTCACCATCTGAAAATCTTACATTTTTGTGGCAGGGCATGGCTGCTCACGCCTGTAATCCCAGCACTTTGGGAGGCCGAGATGGACAGATCAAGAGGTCAGGAGTTCAAGAACCAGCCTGACCAACATGGTGAAACTCCATCTCTACTAAAAATACAAAAATTAGCCAGGCATAGTAACGCATGCTTGTAATCCCAGCTGCTTAGGAGGCTGAGGCAGAAGAATCCCTTGAACCAGGGAGGCGGAGGTTGCAGAGAGCTGAGATCTCGCCACTGCACTCCAGCCTAAGTGACAGAGTGAGACTCCAACTCAAAA